TAAATAACATTAGATATAAAGATAAAATATAAGATATATATTTTATAACTAAGGTAAATAGATAAATAAGTGAGATTTTATAAATAACTTAAATAAATAAGATAAAGATTAACAACCTTCCTCCAAGAAAAAAAAATAGATAACATTAGGCTGAAAGATAAGATAAAGGTATAGTACGATATAATGATTAGATATATTTTATTATTAAGGTACATAGATAAGATGGATAACCCACAGAAATAGATAACAGTAGATAGAAATATAAGATATAGGTATAAGATATAGTGGATATAATTAAATGAAGGCAGAGTAGACCAGTAGAAGACACACACAGCTCATAGGATGAAGCCTACTACACACAGGCACCCAACAATGGAAAGACAATGACTAGCATCGAGTAGGTTAGGTTAGTAGTAAGTGTAGTTCAGTGTAGGTCCTGCCCCAAAAGAATCTACCTTGTCGTGGTGGGCAGGCTTGTAATCTTCTGGCCAAAAATGCAGGGATCCCAACCTGAAAGAAGCACTTTCAGGGAGGTGTCCCTCTCATTTCCGGGAGGTGCTCCTGAAAAAAAAAACGATCGCAGGGAAAGGTTTAATCTGCTTGATAGAGCAGATTAAACCTTTCCGGGAGAAAATGTTTATCTCCCGGGCGGCCGGGAGCCGCTATCTAATAGCGGGAGACTCCCGGAGCTTCCGGGAGAGTTGAGATGTCTGAAAATGTGTCACAGAATGAAATACAGAATAATTTCTTTCTCTAGAGAGTAGGGATGCACCGATACCGGTTTTTCGGTATCGAGTGCGAGTACCGATATTTTTTTTTTACGGTACTCGCCAATAACGAAAGTCCCATTAAGGAAGCAAGGAGGCATGTAAAGATGAGGGAGCATGGAGCCGGCTTCCCGGCCAATCAGGAAGCCGGGTGCCGTGTAATGACTCATTGCCCGGCTTCCTGATTGTTCGAGAAGCTGGCCAATGAGGAATATGGGCAACGAATCATTACACGGCGCCCAGCTTCCTGATTGGCCGGGAATCCAGCTCCATGCTCCCTCGGCACCAGTTGATGAGGGAGCATGAAGCAAGCTTTCTGGCCAATCAGAAAGCCGGCGGGCCCGCCCGGGCATGTATTCCAGCACTCTGGAAGAAACCCGAAGCCCCCCTCATAAGCCAAGTCCTAGACCGTAACCATGATATATACATCATGGAAGACCTCACGAGCTCCATTAAACATACCTCTGCCTCAGTCGCTCGAACCTGGTTCCCCTGGTTGGAATACATTCGGTCCCCTGACTACCTTACCCTCAGATAGGAGAACGCTGACCGGCTACTGATGGGGAAACCTTATCCCATCTCCTCCCCGCCTTTCCTGTTTCCCCACCCTTTTTAGGTATATGCCCTACCACCATATCTCTCTCTTTAGTGACCTAGTAACTACTGGCCCATTTATGCCGTATCCCTTTTTTTTTCTTTCCTTTTCCATCACTCAACCCCTTACCCACACAACCTACTCACATTCACTTGCCTAACACTGTTTTTTTTTTCTTCTCTTGTTCGGGTTTGTTTTGTTGTGCACACTAAAGTTTTAAAAACGACATCTCTTATGCATGCTATTGACAGGGATAGAAGTCCCCCCCCTCCCCCACACACCTCCCTCGGATCCACAGATGCGCTCATAAGCACTTGGACACTTATATGTCCCCCTCTTGAGATACTTACGGGTCACTGACTAGCTGAGCAGGGGGAACACCCTCCCCTTATTGTTCTCAACGCTTTAAATATCTTATTTTGTTTACTTTGTCATATACATCGCAATGCATTTGGTGTATTTTCTCTATGACCGCCCGAGAGAGCAACTATTTGCTACTTATGCACTTGTTTTTCTCTTCTTGTGATCACCGTCAAAGCTTTTAAAATATAAAATAAAGAATTT